CGCCGCGCTGGGTCCTCTCGGCCAATGAGCGGCGTCCACATGCTGCGGCGGCGGCGAGAGGGGAGGCAGCGGCGGATAAATGCTATTAGAGCAGCCGCCGCGGAGCCGTCCCCGACGCCACCTCCTTCTCCTCCGCCGCAGTTTCCTCCGCCGCTGTCGGGGGTGCGGAGCTGAGGGAATAGGGCGAGCGCGCCGCGCACCACCCTGCCGGCTCGCTGCCCTCGCTCCGTTCCGCCCTCAGGGGTCGGCCGCGCGCCCCCTCCTCCGGCCCGGGTGGGGCCACGAATCACCTCGGGAGAGCGGGGAGGGGGCTCTGGGGCCGCGGCCTGCGCTCCCGGTGGGCGGTTGAGGGCGAAAGAGGCCCTCCCTTCTGACGAGGGGAGGGAGGGTCAGGAGCCCCCCACCGCCCAGCTGAGCCAGGGGCGTGCGCCGGCGAGGGCCGGGCTGCGAGAGGGGCGGTTGTCTGGGGGAGGGGGCGCGGGGTGATTCAGCGCCCGGCGAGGCGGAAGCGGCCGCAGGAGGAGGAGGAGGGGGGAGAGGCCAGTCAGCGCCTAGGCGCCCAGGGTGGCACGAGCCCGCGGCCCGAGTGCGAGGCGGAGGCGAGGAGGCCGCGGGGACTGGAGGCGAGGCCGGCCGGGCCCCCGCAGCCATGGAGAACGCGCACACAAAGACGGTGGAGGAGGTGCTGGGCTACTTCGGCGTCAACGAGAGCACAGGGCTGAGCTTGGAGCAGGTCAAGAAGCTCAAGGAGAGATGGGGCTCCAACGGTAGGTGCCCGGCGCCGGGGCTGCAGGGGCCCCGCGCGGCCCGGCGCGGGCCCGAGAGCCAGGGAAGATGGCTGACCGGGCTCCACCTCGTGGGTCTGGGCTCCGCGCCCGCCGAGGGCTGCAGGCGGCGGGTCGAGCCCGCGCGCGGGCCCCGCGGGAGAGGGGTTGCAGGCGGGGGCGCCGGGGTCTGTTCTACGCCTCCTAGATCTCGCGCCTCGAACCCTTGACCTTCCCCGCACACAGCTAGCTCTCCGGCTTCCCGCACGCAGCTGCGGGCCCCGCTGGAGAGACGGACGAGTCTCTTGCAGCTGGGTTGTTCCCTGCGAGACATTTTCTCGTCCCCAGTCAGTTTATGAGGCGTCGTTGCAGTTGAGAATGCCTCTAACCGTTCTTGTACTACCCAAAGTTACACATCTGGCAGAAGTCATGACATAGCTGAAATGACTCGTTTCGGGAGCCCTGTTTAGGTAGCGATGAGATTTTATGCTTCGGGGTAGACCTAAGGTATTGGTTACGGCAAATACTGCATGTTTTCTTGGGGCTACTATTTTAGTATGGTTTCTATTAAAAGTGGTTGAATGTTCATATACCTAGGTATGTCTTTCAAAGACCGTGGTAATTTTAGGAATTCTCTTTTGAAAGACCATGCTAATTTTTTTTTTTCCTCCTTGTTGACACGTTGCCTGGCGAATTTCTGCATTATAGAGTTACCGGCTGAAGAAGGTGAGTAATCTTAACATGTTCTTTTTTTTCTCCCCTTTGTGTTCTGATGTTAAGATGACATTTACAACAAATGTTTGTTTCTCACAGGAAAAACCTTGTTGGAACTTGTGATTGAGCAGTTTGAAGACTTATTAGTTAGAATTTTATTGCTGGCAGCTTGTATATCTTTTGTAAGTATAAAGAAACTTATTTTCTCTCAGAAAGTTGACTCTATTTCATAGATGAAAAAACAAGAAACAAATGTCTATTGGGTGACAATGTTATATTTAGAGATTTAAGCTGTGTCTCCATTTTTTTTCAACTTCACTATTTTAAAATTATAAACAAAACACTTGAAGCCATTTGTGTTGTAGAAAATCAATGAATGCCTGACATTGACAGTGCAGTTAGAAATTGTTGCCAAATGGCGCAGGGTCTTATAAATTTTTGTGGTTTATGAGATTTTAACATCAAAAAGTTCTTTATCGGGAAGTCTTTTTTCTGTTTGGGTTCTTCCACGGTGTAAGATCACACTAATATGATGTTGGGCCCTTTGTAGTCTGTAAATAGAACTTACAAAAGGAATATTCCAGTTGCTCTCCCTTCCTGGTAATGGCAAGGTGACAGTTGTTTCTGACAGTGACAAGAATGATGACGGCAGTGATGGCACTACTGTTGACCAAATTTGGTTACTGACCTTTAGGGTGGTATATTTATCTAAATTGGACCCCTGTCTTGAGTGACTCCTAGGTAGAAAGAACAAGGTTCAGTACAATTGGTTCTAGATCTTAAAAATAAAAACAAAACATATAGTGTTTTTTCTTGTTCTGTATGTGCTTACCGAATTGAGTCCTGTATGGTTGCTAAGAAACTAGTGAAATGCAAAGGACTACAGCAGAAACAGGGTGATGGGTTGGTGAGGATATTTCTAGGTTATATTAACATTTTTTTTCTGCTCAATATTAATTTTTTATTGCATTTTTTCTTGGGCAGTGGACTTCTTGGTAGTTTTCCTAAAAATGCTCATGAGTAGGACATAGAAGTTCCTAATCCTAACAGCAAGGGATGACTTTTGCTCTTTTTTTTTTTTCTCTTCCAAATTTTTATTTAAATTCTAGTTAGTTAACACATAATGTAATACTGGTTGCAGGAGTAGAATTTAGTGATTCATCACTTAACTATAACACCCAGTGCTCATCATAACAAGTGCTCTTCTTAATACCCATCACCCATTTAGCCCATCCCCCACCCACCTACCTCCCTCCATCCACCGTAGTTCTCTTATCATTACACTTTTGTTTTAAATTACAGTATATTAGTCTTATAAAATAGGATGGGAAGTGATGGGAAGTGAAATTCACCCAGTGTAATATGTTTTTTCAGGCTTCACAAAATTGACAGAGCTTCAAGGTTTCATTTTTGTATGTTTGTACATATGCAAGCCCCAGAAATCTCCTTTGTTCTTTATGACAGCCATATCGTAGAAGACTATTTTGAGAACTAAGTAAAAAGGAAGCAGTGGGCACTTCTTTAGGTGAGGGGGGAAATTTGGTAAGAGGTGAGTTTTTTGGAGTAATACTATTTACAAATTCTATCATGCTATTTGGCAAAGTGATATGTAGCTATTAATAATTCAGTCCTCAAGAATGTTTTCTATGGTTTTCATTGAATAAAATTAAGAGAGTGTCATAGCAAATCATTCAGCATTCTGAATTACTCTATACCTCTTAACATGTCTGTCTGTTCTTGATTAATTCAACACCACCCACCCCTCCACCCTCCCCCACCCTCTCTAAACGGCTGCTGCTTTACCGATTAAGATAAAGGAGTAGAGCTGTTTGATTAACCAGTTTCAGTACTTTGTCATGGCACAAAACAAATAATACATTTGGGGTAGTGTAATGTTTATGTTTAAGCTAGCTGCATAATTCTGAAGTAGCCTCAGCGTTGGTAATTAAAATACGGGGGTTCAATAACGTTATCAGGGACCCCTTAGAATAAGTCAGCTGGTATATACAGGGCAGAGAGGAAATAAATTTTTTTGAGTTATTCTGTGTGTGTAACTTAAGGCAGTGTTGTAACATCACTGGCATTATTTCTAATAAACAAGCTCTTGGATATTTAGGTTGTATAGGATCTCTTGAGTTGCCAGTTTTGAATGACTTTATATTAGCACTTTGATTTAGTAATGTATGTGATTTTTACTTTGAAGAAAGGATCTTCTAGTTTCTAAGCATTTTCAAATGGGTTTTAAAATATTTGCTTTAATTTTATCATAGGGCAGGGTGTTGGATTTTTATAGCTTTATAGAGCTATATTTTGGAATTGAAATTTGAATTACCTTCTTGGTAACTACTCGGAGTTAATGCTCAGGAAATGAACTGGGTGACATTTTTATTTTATGGGTTGATAAAGACACATAATAAATTTTAGGAAATACTGTTAGTTTGCTTTGACTTGGTTGATCAAGACATTTTGGATTTAAAACTTGCTTCGTTGATTTTCTTTATGTGGAATTGGCACTACTGCTACATTGTGCTTGACCTTTTCATTCCTCATTTCTTTATCTTTCAAAAGATCACTGAGTCTTTTTTTGTGGTAATCTGTTTATTCCTATGTAACAGGAGAATCATGGTAGAATATTCATGCTCTTTTGGAAGAGTGAATAGGCAGTTCTACAACATGTACACGATGTATGATATATCCTCAGGTTCTGCTGAAGTTAAAAAGAAATATTAGGCGTTAGTGATTTATTTCAGATGTCAGACTAAGTGTTAACTGTAGGAAGCTACATTCATGTTTTACACTCATGACCTGTATGGATAAAAGGTTTGTTTTTTTTTTTTAATGTTTATTTTTTGAGAGAGAGACAGAGCACGAGTGGGAGAGGGGCAGAGAGAAAGAATCTGAAGCAGGCTCCAGGCTCTGAGCTGTTAGCAGAGTCCAACGTGGGGCTTGAACTCGTGAACCACGAGATCGTGACCTGAGCTGAAGTCAGATGCTTAACTGACTGCACCATCCAGGTGCCTAGGGATAAAGGTTGATTAACTTGTAATGTTCACCAAATATAAGTAGTTTTTGTTTTCTTTATTTTATTTTTTTTTTTTAAGTTCACTTGGATTGGAAGAAGCGAGCTATCTCTGTCCCATTGCGTATAAAGTAACATTAGAAATTCCTTAATTTGACATTTAGGACCTGCTGTCCTTTCAGTTTGTCTTTACGTCCTCTTTAGTCACAACTTTGCCCTTCATTTAACACATCATATGGTTGCTTACTGGAATACCCGTTCTTTTCTCTCTTTTACTGCTTCATTAGGTATTTATTGAACACCTGGGACACGGCACAGACGCTGGGGATATAGCATTGAACAAAATAGGCAAAGTCTTTGACCTGGAGCTGACATTCTAATGGAGGCAGATTATAAACAAGTAAAACATGTAGTCTGTTGGACAGTGATAGAGAACTAAAGCAGAGGGATAAGAATATGAGGAGGAAGGAGTGCAGTTTTTAAGTAGGGCGGTCAGAAAAGTCTTCCAAGAAGGTGACATTAGAGAAAAGACCTGAAGGAGATGAGCAGGAGGGCCATATTTGCCTCCTCTGTATCCATGAAGTCCTCTGATAACATGGTTTGTCAAAGTTTCTCTACCCTCCATCCCCCTGTCCCCACCACAGCTACTTCGATGGATTCTGAAATGCTACTAAAACTTTCTTAGAGCAAGGCACTTTTCAGCTTCTCACTTGTAATTGAATAGTTTGTTTTTCCTTCCTCCTGGGCCCTTTAAAAGGGATTCTTAATATTTTTTAGAGCCTAGGTTAGTGCTTTTGATAGAACAGATAGATATTTGAGTGAGTTTGTGTTGGTAGCATTTTCAAAATACAGAAAAACGTAGATCTGTTTTCTTAGAACAATATAGTCAAGAAGTGTTTTATATAATGTAGTGATTTTATTTTTTTCCCTGTATTTTAATTTCTTACTTAAAAAAAAAAAGATAAAATGGGTAGTTTACTGATGGGTTTAATTTATTTAGAGCTTTTCTTTAAAATGTTTTGAAAGGTGAATGTGTTTTTCTTTTTTTTCTTTTTTTTTTTCTTTTTAAATATTTGTTTTAGAGAGAGCAAGACTGAGCATGAGCAGGGGAGGGAGAGAGAGGGAGACACAGAATCCCAAGCAGGCTCCAGGCTCTGAGCTATCAGCACAGAACCCAATGCGGGGCTCGAACCTACAAACCCTGAGGTCATAACCTGAGCTGAAGTCGGACACTTAACCGACTGAGCTGCCCAGGCACCCATGTGTTTTTCTTTTTAAACATTATGTTCTCAAATCTAAAAACAGTATTTTTATTTTTATTTTAAACATTTATTTTGAGAGAGAAAATATGAACCAGGGTAAGAGCAGAGGGGGGGAGAGAGAGAGAATCTCAAGCAGGCTCCATGCTCAGCACAGAGCCTGACATGGGGCTCAATCCCATGACCCTGGGATAAGTTTTGTGTGTGGATCAGAAGAGAATATGGTCTAATTCATACTTTTTTTTTTTTAATGGCTGAAAGAATTTTCATTTTCTACCCTCAGAAAA